TATCACAGAATGGCTCTGGGGGACCTGGCCGGCAGAATCACAGGGCATTGAGGGTTTCCACACTAACTCAGCCCTAATTAAAATATACCCTATAGTTGTTGCAGCCGTCATTTGGTTTAGGTTGTGGAAAGGTCAGTCCGTACGCTGCTTCTCCGACAACCTGGCAATATGCCACATTATCAACAAGGGTCGCTCTTCCTCCTTGACGATTATGAGTTTCCTTAGGAAACTGACATGGCTGGCAGCTACCCATCAGTTCCACATTGTACGCTCTCACGTTCCTGGCATCTACAACACGGCAGCTGACCAACTCTCTCGCTTTCAATTTCAGGCTTTCAAACTGTCCCTACCCTCGGCAGCTCGTGTAGCAACCCCAGCGCCAACTTTCCAAGAACTTGTCATGGAGTAGACGAATTACTTCAGCACAGTAATGCTCTTACCAAGTTAGCCTTATCCACCAACACCCAACACGCATATCACAGAGCTTTTCACTTGTACAAACAATTCATGTCTGACCATCACCTAGTCGACTGGTTCGAGGTTTCTTCACTGATAGCTTTTGCATCTTTTTGCCACCTTAAATTTAAGTTTTCACATAATACCATTAAGCTATACCTCACGGGCATACAACACCATATGTATTGCTCCTTCCCTAACCACAAAGGGTTCTTAACTTCTTACCCCATCCGAACACTACTGAAAGGCATAACCAAAGCAGACGGCCCTGCAACTCTCAAGAGACTTGCCATTGACATTAAACTGTTCAAATCCGTGTCCGACCTTCTCGACCAGGCTCCATTTGAGATTGGTGTCTCCCCTTGGTAGGGTAAGCTGCCGCTGGGGAGATAGGGTGCTGTGCTCCTCTCCCTGAAACACAGGCTGCCGCTGGAGAGGGAGACCGCCTGTCTCCACTCCCATAACATTGTCCTGCTGCTGGAGAGAGAGACCAACTGTCTCTGCTCCCTGTAGGACACACTGCTGCTGGGGGGGAAGGACGACACCTTCGGCCCCCTGGAATTCGCACTGCCGCTGGGAAGGAAGGACGACACCTTCGGCTCCCTGTAACTTGCACTGCCGCTGGGGAGGAAGGACGACACCTTCGGCTCCCTGTAACTTGCACTGCCCTGGTGGTACCTCCAAGGTATACTGGGACTGACTGGAGCTGAGTAGGCACTGGTAATCCTGTTCCAGTTCCCATTCCTGGATGGCCAATACAAACAGGTCTGGCTCTAGGTCTTCATCCATAGGGAGATCTAGAATGGTTTCTCTGGATTCAAATATGTCCCATAGCCGTGACTCTGCAGCATCCCCGAACCTTGGTCCGGTACAGGCGAACCATAATACGCCAGGGCCATTGTAATCCTTGCCCTCTGGTCTGTCGCACTTAGCCATCGCGGGAACACGCTGAACTGCATACCAATGTAGTGCCTGGTATGCGTCTTCGAGCCCCAGTTCTTTCCATGCCAGAGAATTAAGCTGCATTACCAACTCCCACCTGGGCTGTTCTCCCATCATAGGCATCCATAGGGCCACTCGGGCCTGTAGTCGCTGCTCCTCGCTGGGGAGACACTCACCTCGCCAACGCTGGTCACCCCCCAGGGCTTCGTCCCACATCTCTTGCTAGATTGCCTACTTACAACCAGATGAGGATGATGATGGGCTCTAGCTGCAGTCTGGCTCCACTGGTCTGGTGTAGAACAGGCTCTCTGGAGGCTGTTTGTAACTGTGGTCACAAAAATCAATGTTCTGAGAGAACGGGAAGCAGCTCCATTTTTTGGGGGCCCTTTACACAGCTCAAGGTCAGGCCCTGGGGAGATAGCGTAGCTAAGCGGACAAGGGCACATGTAGGAGTGTGAGGATAGATGCATGGGATTGGATGGGAAAGAGTGTGTGGGTGGGATTATGTTCTGTGTAAGTTAGTGTGGGGGAGGTATTACCTCAGTGCCACTTGGGATTCGGGCAAGCAAACAGCTTCCTGTCCTCCAGCTTCTGTTTGCCTGGGCCTGCAGATTTACGCAGCTTGAGGGATGGATATTGAGGCGATCCGGTCGTCCCTCAGGGCTGCTGCAGCGTGGATGGTGGCCGGCACCTAAGGGAGCAATTCACAAGCATTACTGGAGGTATGGCTGCCGGTGTGGGCACCCCCCGTGGCCTACCCTCCCCTGGGGCACCCCCTGCTGCCTCCCATGCTGCCTCCCATGCGGTCCCTGCCCCTGGGGGCCGCACCAGCACTGGCAGGCATTCCCACCCGCCTGCCAGGCTGCCCCTGGATCATACTCCCCGGGCCCGGTGAGGAGCAGGAGCCTGGGCCCAGGGCACCGCGGGGGCCGCGTGTCTGGGGCTGCAGGCATGCGGCCTACTACTGGGGGGGCCGGGATCTGAGGCCTACTGAGGCCGCGCGGTTGGCACGGCCTTCAGACACGAGGCATGCCACTGCCGCGCGGCCTGCTACCCCTATGGCCGCCCGGCCTGCTCCTTCCTGGGCCGCCCACTACCTCCGGGGATGCGGCCTCCTGGTGCGGCTGCCACGCGGCCTACTCCTCTCCCCCCCTCCACACCATCCGCCCCGGCCGCCAGTGTGCAGCTCCCCCGCGGCCAGCGGGGAGGTGAGTGGGCCCTCGCGGGCCGCTGGGGGGGTCCCCTTGCCCGTCGGGAGCCTCCTCTGCCAGTGAGGGAGGCTCCCAGGGCTCTGTCTCTCCTCCCTCCATCTTTCGCTGGCTTTTATTTTCTTCTGGGGGGCCCAGCTTTCCCTTGCCTGGGCCCCCTGGTCCCCCCCCTTTCTGGTTTCCTCTTCTCCCCCCCCCACTCTCTGGTGGGCCTGCACCCCCTCTCCCCCTCTCCTGCTCTATCCCCCTCCATATAGAAAAATCCTCCCTATCTGCATCCCTCACAAGGCAACTACTTCCCGCCCCCTCTCCTCACTCTCCCCCTCCCCACCCCCAGTCACTTACCTGGGCATCTCCCTTTTCTCATTGCTTCTTCTCAGCATGCTGCTGCAGTTCATGGATCCGTCCATCAGGTGGCGCCTGGATCACAGCTGATGTCTCCTGTGGATGCTGGAACTGCTGTTTCTTTGCCTCAGCCTTCTGTGAGCGCAGTGCCGGGCTTGGATCGCCAGGCTGCGTCCGGTGAGTACATTTCCCTTCTTTTAGCGCTTCGCGTGCGTACGTTCTTTCTTCCTTTCTTCCTAAAAAAAAAAAAAAAATTGATACAGACAGGGAAAAAATTACAGGACAGAAATACAAGGTAAATTACCTATTGGACTAAACAATAAAAAATAAAAAAAAGGAATCCTACGTCAAGTACAAGGGGGAGAATTCAATATATAAAAAAAATAAAATAAAAAAATTATATATATATGGGGAATCCACGTTAAAACAAAATTTAGGTTCCCCCTTTCCTTTTTCAGTATGTATTATATATTTAGGTACGCTTTCCCGCAGCTTCTGGCGCAGCTGATAGCGCCGGTGATGCCTCCCAGGTTCACGTGACTCTGGGCTGCTGAGCTCATGTGGCCCGCTTGGCTTGCGCGTAACGCTAGGGAGCAGATGGAGAATGGGGTTTTGTATCGAAGGATGTTCCCTCCTGCCACGGGGGTCCCTTGACTAAGGGGGACATTAGGGGCTCAGGGAGGGTCGTGGGGAGCATGCTGTGGTCAGATGCACCCCAGGGCGCATATCGGACAGGGCTCCCCGAGTCGGCGCTGCGTGGTTCAGCGGTCAGGACACTCTCGGGACGCGTATCGTCCCTGTGATAAGCTGGGTTGGTGGAGGTACGTTTTGCACTTTCATCAACGGTTGGCAGTGCGACCCTTCTTGGCCTGGGGCTGGATGGGTTTTGCCGCTGGTTTTCTTTGGGGCTCACCTGGCCCCTCAGCACAGCGTGTTTTTCCGTCCTCTCTGCAATCGGTCGGGATGGGGACCCTCAGTTCATGTGGGAGCTCCATCGGGCGATGTGGGTCCAGTTTACCAAGAACGCTTATAAGTTTACTTCCCAGTCGGTACACCTGGAATTCGCTGTGGTGCCCAAGGAGGAGGAGCAGGGTCAGTATCTCCAGATTACTTATTTGCTCAGTTGTCGTTTCCTTCCAGGGGCTAGGTTTGGGATGATGGCTCGGCGCAGCGGGCTGCGTGGGTGGGGCTGCGGGGCCTTGCTGACAAAGGCGGCTGTGGAATCAGTTTTACGGCTGCTGCCGGTACGCCCGTCGGGTTTATTGTTTCCAGGTTGTGTTCCCGATGGTCAGGATTGGGTGGTTCTGTGCCTTCATGTAGGTTGCTCCCAATGTCATTTATGTGTGGGGTCGTCGGTGCAGCATGTCCGCACTCTGCTGCTACAGTGTTTTTCCTGGGTTAGTTTTATGAGTTTCGGAGTTCCGTGGCCTAGGCCATATCCGTAGGTTGGGATACGGGCTGTAGTCTCCTGGATAGTGGGATCGATTCCTGCAACGGGTCGTCGGTTGCCCCTGACTGCGGTTTGGGACATCGGGCAGTATGCGTCGGTGGTTTTGAGGGGCGTCGCGGGTTTAGGCTGCACTACCTTTGGACTCTCCTGGGTTTGCTGGGCTTTGCTTGTTGGGATTGCCCTTTGGAACTGTATGGGGTTCCTTCTGGGCCTCCCTTAACGGTGGTTTGTGCAATCTGCCCCCCCCCCGCCCAAAGTCTTTCCGCTGACTTCCAGCTGTTTGCTACTGCAGCAGGTTTTGGGGGGTTTTGGGCCAATTTGGGCTCTCAATGGTGTGCTGACTCTTGCCCATTACACTGGCAAGGATCGGTTTTCTGGCAGACTTTGGGGTTCTTGGAGCTTCCCCTTTCTGGTGGCATGGTAGGCATGGGGTGCCCGGCTCTAGAACAGGTAGGTGGGTTTTCCTTTGGGACCATCGTGGAGCGGTGCGGGCTGTCTTGTCATGTAACAGTACACTTTACCCCAGTGTTACTCTGGTTGCAGCGCCTGGCTTGGCGCTGTTTGAATCTAGGGCGGCTGATCTTAAGTTTTTGTGTCCGGGTATTCCCGATGTGGTGGCTGACGCTCTGTCTTGGTCATTATTGGGCATACTTCGGTCAGAGGTGTCACGGGGTCGATGTTAGGGCAGTGGAGGTGGTCGCCTGGTCCAACGGTCTGATGAAGCTGGTCCGTGGGTTGCCCTATGAGGTGGCGTGGGGCCCACTCCAGTATGGCGGGAGTGATCGGGACGGATGGGGACGTTTCCTTGTAGGTTCCGGGAGTGGACTGCTCATCTACATGTTTGGTTCCATCTGTTGAGGGCGCTAGGGGTGATTTCTGCGATTGGCAGGGCTCGGCTTCCTGTTCATGTTACAGTTGTCGGCAAGTGGTGGAGTGTTTTGGTGGACAGACTTATTTCAGGTTTCGCCGCTCGACTGCTGTTGTCGTTGGGACGGGTAAGTCAGTTGCGGTGTGGCTGATGCGTCGATGGAATCTGTGCGATTCTTGGATGTTTAGGGGTCGACGTGCCCTGGCTTTTCCGCTTTCTCCTAAGGTAGATGGAATGCACGGGTAATGGTTGGGCTCCTAACACGATGTAACGGGTTCCCAGGATGGCCTGACATATTCCGTTCTGATCGGAGGCGGTGCAGGTTTCCGTCATTTGCCTGAAAGTTGGTGGGGAGTTCGAGGGGCATTTATTCTGGTTTGGGATGGCTACGGTCGCCGCCAGGCTTGGCGTGCCTGCGCCAATGGTTCAGGGGCTCGAATTTTGGGAGTCAGGGTGGTGGTTCCTTCAGGTTCACCCTGCTGGTCTCCGAATGGATTTCTCACCGCGGTTACGGCCCCACCCCCCGGAAAGGGAGGTTCAGTGGTCTGGCACCAGTTACATGGTGGGGGTGTGGTCCTCCTCGTACGGGGTCGGCTGTCCCGCCTCTTGGACGTACCAGGGTTTTTTTGTCATCTCTGGGTGGATTGATATGGGTTCGGTGTTGTATGGGGTGCTCTTCAATCTGAGGGTGCTCTTGAATCTGGACATGTTACACATTCTGTTTCTTACCAGAGGTTCTCAGGGGCCGGGCTGAGGCTATCACCTGTTCCTGTTGGCAGTGCGCTCAGCAATGTGAGTGCCCTGGAGCGCTGCCGTCGGGAATCGGACGAGGTGGGTTTCTTGTTTTGGCTTGGGGGATTCCAGTTCACCTTGGGGTGTGGCCGGATGTGGCCTAGTTATCTCGAGGGGATGGGTGCGCTTGCTGGAGGTCGGATGAGGCCTATGATGGTGCACTGAGGACGACTCCGGCTGGAGATGAAACGCAATTGCTGCTAGATCAAAGGATTGTATCTGGTATTTTTTCTTATTTCCTCTGGAGTGTTTTATTTAGGCTTTGTGCCTAGTATATTTTACTATTTATACACTGCATATTGTCCCTGTTTTAATTGTTTATTTGTGCAATAAATTTTGGATTCTGCACCTTGTATCCTGTGCTGCTCTCCTCAAGGATATCGTTTAGCCTTTTTAGGCACCCTCCTGCACATTATATAGAGCCTGGGACGGTTTTCAATCCTGTGAGTTTTACTCTACATAAGGAGTCTAACATTATATATATATATTTTGCGCTATGTTGTGTTATTGGTGTTTTTTAGATTGATCACGAATGGTCATTTAATTTCCTGGTGCAGTATTTATTCTATGTTAATCTGGCACTGCTAGCAGTGGTGGAACAGGCCATGGCTGGTTGTGGTGGGGTCCCCCGCTGATTTTAGGTGTAAAACAGCGTGGTTGTGGTGGGGGTATGTCCTTGCCAATTGAGTTTGAGGGGTTACGTTTAAGTATATGGAATGAGATGAACAAGTTTTTAAGGTCTCAACCTCCCCTGCTTCAAAAGGTTAACATTAGGTTACCTGAGGTGTCGTGCCCATCGAGCGTGGATAAGGTCGGCTGATGGCGGGCATTGGAAAGATATGATTTTATGACGAGGGGGGAGGTGAGAGGAAGTGGTGATTAGGAACCACTGTATGTTTATTGGCAAGGACGGTTGGGTCACTGTATAACACTATGTGTGGAGTTATATATGTATATATGTTAATTTATGCTTATTTATGTCTAACGTTTTGGTTACAGAAAAAGAAGAGATTTAATAAATAAAGTTATGGATGTGTTATGCAGTAATTTAGTGTGTGATAATAAATGCTGTGGCCTGTTCATCCATACTAAGTGGTCTGTCATTATTGGGGGGTTGAATGGGGTTAGTTTTGTTATAGGCTGCATCGCAATTCCCCACTACGTACATACATGGGTCCCAGAGTCCACCTTCATGTTCCACCAATGAGTTTGTTTACAGGGGATGGAGTGTGTAGAGGATGTCCTGATATGTGTGTAAGGAATGCATTGTGTGAATCTGTGTTTGTATGTGTAAGGACTGCATGGTGTGTTTCTGTGTATGTACGGGATGCAGTGTGTGCGTGTGTGTACGGGGTGCATTTAGTGTGTGTAAGGAATGCATTGTGTGTTTCTGTGTGTGTAAGGTTTGCATGATTGTGCGATTGTGTGTGTGTGATGGATGTCAATCTCTTTCTCCCCCTCCCTTGTCATTCTCTTTCCCTCCCTCCCTCCCTCCCTTGTCACTCTTTGTCCCCCTTCCTCCCTCCCTTGTCACTGTTTGTCCCCCTCCCTCCCTCCCTTGTCACTCTTTGTCCCCCTCCCCCCACTCTCTGTCCCCCTCCCTCCCCACTCTTTATCCCCCTCCCTCCC